GCTGTCCTCTGGCGTCCACACATCGGGTGCCGCACACAGTCGGCCACATACACCACGAAATAAATCACAACGATAAGGCTGTCCATGAGAGCAAGCAAGCCCCACGGAGAGGAGGCAAGAGAGGACGGCCGTAGCACACAGCAAGAGGAGGAAGCGGTGTGCATGAATAACAAGGGATCGTTGAGCAGGAGGTTGGGATGCAGTATGTGATCACTAACCCTTACACTTAAAAACCATAAACTTAATAGTAAGTTCCATGAAGGTAACTTTAAATAACTTCCTCTACACGCCCCCCCCCCCCCTTTAAAGATGTGGACAATGAAAAGGCAATGCTGCCTAAATGAAGGTAAGATCTGCCCAGTCAAGAGTGTGTGCATCTTAACAACTCGAGAGGAAATTATGGGCAGGGCTTCTGCACTACAGACCAAAGACATCAAGTCTTAAAGTCTTTATGTCATTCAGTCGAGGGCAAGACTAAGAAAACAATCAACCACATGGATGGGTACAAAGAATGCATTTCCTCACTAAATCCTGTGAAAGTAGGATTAGGAAATATGCTTTAACTAACTGCAATATAAAACTTATTAACAAGTATCCCTTTCACAAAATAATAAAAGTTTCAGATGATATACAAATTTGGAAGGAATTACTAATGGCACGATACATCGGATTTTTAAATACCATGGGCAATCACACAAAAATGATGGTCCCGGACTGGCTGCACAGCTCAGTGGTAGAGTGCTTGCCTGGCATGCACAGATCCCTGAGTTCAATCCCCAGCACCATGAGAGAGACAAACAAAATGCTGACCTCGTCAAGAAAAGCAATCGTGTCTTTTTCTTAAAACACATATTCAAGGCTGGTTTCTGGGTCTTCCCAATACAACCTCCTTATCCACTGTAGGAAGTTTCCCCATCTAAAGCAGTGATAACTCTCTCCTTATAAGAGTTTAGACCCAGATCCCTGTGACAACCTTTATTCTCATTTGCTCATACATCAGGCATCAGGAAATCCTGCAGACTCTTCCTCAGGGAATTCATGACCCACTCCCTCCATGACTGCAGTGACTAAGACCTTGGCCCAGGCCGCTGTTACCTTTACCTTCTACATGTGGCTGCTGTTTCTACAGTTTATAATCAACCCCCTGTTCTAAAGTGACCTTTTAAAATTGAAGTCTCCTCTGTGTCCTTCCTCTGCTCAAAACCATCTCCCCTCCATGTTACCCCATCTTTTTTTTTAAAGTATAATCAAAAAGCCCAAATGTTCTAGCAGCCGTCATCGGCCTGGTAGCTTCCTTCTCTCCCCAGCCCTCTGGCCATGCAGGGCTCTTTGACCCTGTTATCTGCTCTAGGACTTCCTCTAGACCTATGGCTTATTCCTCTTGACCTCTCTGCCTTAATAGCCCTTGCTCTCAGATACCTGCTAATCTTGACTATCAGCAGCTCAGGGTTTATTGTTGACATCTGGATACCTCTCTCTACCCCAAGACATACTTTTTGACAAATTTTGAACATGACATGTCTTCCATGGGCTCATGTGTTGAAGTTGTGGTCCCAGCTGGTGGCACTATTTGGGGAATAGTACTTCTGGAAGTAAGGCCTGATAGGAAGAAATAAGCCACTTGGGGTGTGTCTTGGGCAGCTCAATCTAAACCCAGACTCCTATCTGTCTTGCTGCTTCTTGGCTGCCTCCTCCACACACACTCCTGCTGCCAAGCTGCTTACCCTTCACTCAAGCCTAAATTCAGGGGATTCATGGGCTGAAGCCTCTAAGTGGGACTCAAGGACAGTCCTTACTCTCTTGCTTTTCTCAGGTACTTGTCACAGTGAGAAAAAGCAACTGGTCACATTCTCCATGAAACACCAGCAAAAGGACAATTTGTCTGATTCTCAGTGACAACTTAGAGATTGTATTTGGAGTAACTGAGTGATCGGCTGGCCAGGCTTATAGAACAAAGCAATGGATGAGACCTGAACATGGTTAAAGCTGAAATATGGGTATGAAAGTGACAGCGCTTTCTGCTTGGCATGCTACTGGGCAAAGTCCCTTAAGGTGGAGGAGGGAGGTATGAAGACAGGGGAGAGTCTAGCTGCCAAAAAAGGACCCACCCACATTCCATCAATGTTTATGGACTTCAATGCCCAACTTCCATGTGCAGCTGTCTCCTGGCCAACTCAAAACTGCTGTGGAACAAAACACATTTCCAAGGACTTTCAGATTTCAAAAGTCGAAAAGATTTATACTGATCTTCATTTTACGATGTCTTTTTTTCTTTGACCTAGAATGAGGAGAGAGTGAGTGAGAGATGGAGTTTTATAGATTAGACTCAAACTTGTTATACAGCTGAAGATGGCTTTGAAATCCTCATCTTCCTAGTTCCTCTTGTATGCTGAAATTATAGGTGTTTACCAGCTACACCCAGTTTCCCATAAGTCATTTTATTTGTTTTATTTATTTGGATGTTGTGGTAGTGGATAGTTTGTTTGCAAGGCTAGCTTGAATTTCTGATCTTCCTTCACTCCCAAATGCCAGGATTATAGATATGTACCATCACATCTAGCTTCCAATATCATTTTGACTAAGAATGGTGACTATGCATCTATTTCTTAACCCATGACAAAATGAGATTCCCAAGCATGGTGTCAAACTGAGGAAGAATACTCTACAGGGCATAAAGTGTTAAGGAAAGCATCAGACTGGCTTTGAGCCAGACACTGCCCCATGGGCTTTGCATGGATTATCTAACTTCATTGTCTCAGCAAGGGGAGGACTTTGGTGACATCCAACTTCCAGGCAGAGACTGAATGAACTCTCGGTGGTACACACTGATAATGATTATAAGAGTCAGTCAGAGTGTGAATCCAGCCATGTTGGTCTCCCAGCCTTGGGTTTCAGGTTTGTGATAATCCTTATATAAGGAACACCATATTTGTCCAAGAGAGACACAAAGAGTTCATTCTCCAACCCATTTTAAACTATTAATTTTTTTGAGTTAGTTTCCAATAAGACAGAAGATATCATTTGACATTAATATTAAAAGGACAAAACCAAAAACATATAAAGCAATCATAGCAGGGTTTTCCCCCCCTTAAAATGATGCTCAAGTCAAGAGAATAATGTAATACAGTTTTGCTGAAAAATTGCTTTTCCTAAAGCAAATACTAAGAGGCCGGCCTGGGAAACAAGTAAGTAAATAAAGTCTTGTAAATATAGCTGCCCATAAAAAGTGGTTTCCTTTGGAAACATTTGTATACAGTCAGCCAGAAAACTAATGCTACCATGCTCTTTCAAGTCCCAGTAGTTGGAGGGAAAAAAAGCATTACAAAAAAGAAAATAAGAAAACAGGGTTCTACCTGGGCGTGGTGGTACATGCCTTTATTCCCAGCATTCAAGAGGCAGTGAGATCTCTGTGAGACTGAGGTCAGCCTGGTCTACAGAGTGAGTTCAAGGAGAGCTAGGACTACACAGAGAAAGAAACCCTGCCTCAAAAAACAAAAAACACACACACACACACACACACACACACACACACACACACACACACACACACACACGATTCTATAATTTCGAAGCCCCAACCAGGAGTAAGAGGAATTCTTCAACCTGGGATCTAGATGTGTGTTCTGATAAAGAGAGATAATGGAATCCGAGGAATCTGAGGATATCAGACTACTTACAAAATGTTAATTTCTCACTATCCTAAGTTTTCATAAGACCAGAACAGCAATAAAGAAAGACTTGGCAAGAGAAAGCTAAAAATCAAACATTTGCTATAAACATCTGAAATCATGAACATAACACTGGTTTTTTTAACTGCATTATGTATGTGTGTATATATATGTATTGAACCATTTGTTTGATTAAATAGTTCATCAATGTATACATTATTTAGACTAAATGGAGTCTTTTGATAAGCAAGGTCAGAATTTTAAGCTACCTCCAGCTACTTTTAAATAGATATGAAGACATGCAGGATCTAATTTAGCCTCTTTATATGTATTTACCTTTTTTTTTTTTTTTTCTTGGAGACAGGGTTTCTCTATGTAGCTTTCCTGGAACTCACTCTGTAGCCCAGGCTGTTCTCGAACTCAAAGAGATTCACCTGCCTCTGCCTCCCAGGTGCCCAGCTTGGCTTTATTTACAAAATAGGCATCAACCATCACTGAAACCTTGGAGCATCTTCCTAATGCTTAAACTACCGGCCAACCAGCCCACCCATAGCCAACATCCTATTCACCCCTAACCAACATCACTGTCTTTAGATGGTCACTCCTGATCCACCCCTCAAATCCCTCCTCCTTCCATCAAGCCTTACTCCGCGCCAATTCTAATACCTTAACCCCTTCGAGGCTAAACAAGGTACATCCCAAAGCTACATTCTGCTTGGCTGATAATTTACACTAAGTATCAGGGTAAAAATTAATGAGGAGTAACCCCCTCCTCTCTCCTTCCTGCCTCAAACAAATCTTCCATCTACTCCCCCACTCCCCAATCAGTTACTATCCCCCATAAAAACCAAATCCCAGAACAGGGTGGGTAAGCAGTATGGCAGCCAGCAGAAAGGCCTTTTGGAGCCATCCTAGAGATATGTCCATACACACACACACACACACACACACACACACACACACACACACACACACACGCACACACACACTCACACACACTGCATGGGCTACTGTTCGCCCTGCTCCACGGCCCACTTCAGTTCTGCTTCCACAATAGTTGAAAACAGTCCATTCCTCCTCGTTCGTTTGTTCAACCCTCTCAAGTCTAAACCACGCATCACAAGCTGCCAAAGTGCAGACAACAGGAAAAAGTGTCTAGAACATCCGCCGACTCATGCAAAAACAAACAAACTTTGCTCCAACTGAAGGAATTGCTGGGGTTTGAGCCTGAACAATGGGATGAGAGGTTTGGACACAAGCCCCCCCCCCCCCCCCCCCCCCCCCCGCCCCCGAGTTTCATTCACTCTTACAACCAAGACCTCCATGACTCAGCTCCAGTCCTCAGGCCCACCCAGCCTGAATCCAACACAACTGAAGAATATGCAAGCTTGCACAGTTCTGGCTATTTTGACTGCCTGGGCGGAAGACAAATTAGGCCAGCTACCGGTTTGCTGTCACTGGCTGTTTGCTGCTTGAAGGTGAATATTTTGCTGTTGTTTAGAAGCATGGATGGAAACGACTGATAATCCCCCAAAGACAACAGAAAGCAAAATGGTAAGGCATGGGGCGCAAAGGCAGCCATTCCCTTTTAACTTTGGAAATGAGTTCATTCAATGGCCTCGATACAATGGGCAACATGTGAGAAGTGAAGTTCTTCAGCCAAGATCTAACCCGGAATACTACAGCCTTTCCTTTGACTTTCCCACGTCCTTATGTTTGGGGATTTGGAAAAACCAATGAAAGGAGGCATTCTTTTCGTGTAAGTCCTAGGCGTTAAGTCACCCAGGAACAATGATGTTTTCATTATCACTTTTAGCATCAAGATGGAATTAGACTTGCTGATAACTAATTTTTTTTTGATTTGGCAATCTTCCAGGCCAATATTTGCAATGTATATCTAAGACAGGAGGTTAAAAGTTTCAACTAGGGAGAAGGTCATTAAGGAGAGAGAGGAAGAGGGGGGCGGGAACCAACCTTGAAAAACAGAACAAAGTACCCAGATGACTCTTAGTGCCTCCATAGTCTATAGAACATTTACCCTGTCTGCCTATCAAGTGATTTAACATTAACCATGCTGCTGACAAAAACTCCCTTTTGAAATCCCTTTTGTAGGGGGTGTGTTGCGCTGTGGCGGTAATCTACGGTACACTGAAGAGCGTGAACTCTGCCACAGGCCAGTATCTTGGGCATTTTGCCCAAGAGGTCTGCTTTCAGCGCTCTGGGCGGAGGGTGGCACTCTCAAAACAGCTAGTGGAGTGACCAGCCTCCCTCCCAGTGTTTGGCAGACTTTCCCAGCTTCCAGTTCCAGCGGAGTTTTGAGCCCATTCAAGAATTCCATCTCACAGAGAGTGTTTCCGATACAGTCATTTGATCAGTCAGCGTTTGCCCATGCACCTGCTAAGCAACTGGTCGAGAGCCACAGAGCCACGTCCCCCCATCCTCCACCGGTAATCCGAAGGACTCTTGCACACACGGCGGAGCGGCTGAGATGCAAAGAACGAGCCAAAGGTCCAGGCTGCAGCCTGAGGTCAGGCTTCAAGTGTAGAGGTGATTCTCTTCCCTCATGACAACTTCCCTGTCACTTTGTTCCTGGGCCAGGTGGGGGATTTTTTTTGTTGGTCTCCTTACCTGGAGGTGGCTTCATCGCCTCCCTTTGCATGGCTCTCCCCAACGACCTGGTCCTTTCCGCTGGGGTGGTAAGCGGTTAGCACAACTCCCGGGGAACTGGAGAGCCAGCTCATGATGAGAGAAGGGGCATAATTTCTGGAATCCTGACACAGAGAGGAATGAAGTTCCTGTCTCGCCTTGGCAACTTGCTCATTAGCAAGGGCCAGCCCCTCCCTTGTCCCGGCCAGCGATTCACAGGGAGAGGGGCGTGGCCTCTCCAGCAGGGCTTCCTGGCCCTGCAGTCACAGGCTGTGGGTGACTCACAGCTTTGTTTAAACCCGGCAATCCCAGCCGGCGGCAGCAGCAGCAGTTAAGGGGGCCCCGGTGTTGTGTGGTGGTCCCTGCGCCCAAAGTAAGAACAGCTAACCGGTGTAAATACAAGCCTAGTGAGAAAAGAAACCATGGGTTAGGACAGGGCCTTTTTCCCTTTCCCCATGCCTGTTTCCATCTGATAATTTCTGCTACTTCATGTAACTCGAGTAAGGCATTCCTTTAACCCCTTCAGGCAAGGCGTCAACATTCAGCACAGCAAAACCGAGGAGCCTCCGTCAAACATCACAGTGCCATCTGGCCATCCCGAGAAAGGCTTCGCTTTCACATTAAAAATATTGTGTTACTGTGTACCCTGGAATGTCAAACATACCTCTTGTTTTATCAAAACACTCTTTAGAGGGGGAAATATCTAGCTAACGACCTGCCTGTCAAGAGGTATTGCTCAAAATAAAAGAAGTTCCAACATTTACTGAGAATCTATTATTTTACAGTTGTGTGTGTGTGTGTGTGGGGGGGGGTCTATGTCTGTGTGTGGACGGGTGCCCAGGAGCACTTCTGCTTGCTTGCTTGCTTGCTTGCTTGCTTGCTTGCTTGCTTGCTTGCGCGCGCACACACACACACACACACACACACACACACACACACACACACACACATCAATATTGTAAGAATTATAGCCAAGGGACAGGTGAAATACCTCGACCAAAATAAGTCAGTAAATGGCAGCTGAAGCCCATCTAGATTATTTTGTTTGATGAAAAAGCAAGCTCAAAAGTGATTTAAAAAAAAATCATTTTCTGCCGGGCGGTGGTGGCGCATGCCTTTAATCCCAGCACTCGGGAGGCATGAGGCAGGCGGATCTCTGTGAGTTCGAGGCCAGCTTGGGCTTCAGAGTGAGTTCCAGGACAGGCTCCAAAGCTACACAGAGAAACCCTGTCTCAAAAAAACAAACAAAAATCATTTTCTGTGTTCTCTAAGTTAAACAATAAAAACAAAAATTTCTACTCTGATCTACGTAGCAATCTGAACTGAAACACTTTTTGCTTGATACGTATTTCCTTATTATGTGTATTATATCTCTATTAGATGGGATCTTTGTAACCCTGACTGGCCTGGAATTTGCTGTGTAAACCAGGCTGCCCTCAAACTCAGAGATTCAAGATTCTCCTGCTTCTGCCTCCCAAGTGCTGTTCACGCCACGACACCTTGATTTGTTGTTGTTGTCATTGTCATTACTGTTGGGGGGGGGGGAATTATTCATGTGTGTGGTTGTAGGTCTATGTGTCTGCCACATGTTCTGGTACCCCAGAGGTTAGAAGAGAGTTTCCGATTCCTCAGAGATGAAGTTATATGGAAGTTGTAAACTGCCCAACATGGGTACCGGGAGCCATTTGGAAAAGTAGTGTGTGCTCTGCACTACTGAGCCATCTTTCTGCCCTGATTGTTGTTGTTGAGGCAAGATCTCATGAGAGCCAAGATGGCCTCGAACTTGAACTTGCTACCCAGTTGAAAACCACATTAAATTTGGGATCCTCTTGCCAGGCATACACCAGCAGGCCGGCCAGTTGTCCCCGTGGCTGCCAGTGTATGGGGGTGGGGGTGGGGTCATTGGATCCAGAACTTGCAAGGGAAGGAAGCTACCAAAGGATCCAAATCTCCAGCCACAACCTAAAATTCTTGGCTATCTTTGTGACCACTCTTGGTTAATCTAGCTAAAATTCCTCAGAGGATTTTGCCATTCCATATACATATGATTTGTATTTTTTTCATTATTTAAAACTGAAAAATAATTTTATTCATATTTAAAATATCCATTGTCAGCTGGGGGTGGTGGCACACACTCTTAGTCCCAACAGAATCAGGTAGATCTCTGAGTTCAAGGCCAGCCTGATCTACAGGGCAAGATCCAGGACAGCCAAGGCTACACAGAGAAACCCTGTCATGAAAAAAATAAATATAAAATAAACATATAAATATAAATATTAAATTAATATATAAATATAAATAAATATGCACACATATATACTTCTGATGTATCTCCATTTTTTTTGTCATGTCTGCAGTGAACTCACACACACATACATACACACACACACACCCCTTGCTTTTATTTATTTTTAATTTTTTTTTTTGGGGGGGGTAGGGTTTTAAGACAGGATTTCTCTGTGAAACAGTCCTGGCTGTCCAGAAACTCACACTATAGCCCAGGCTGGCCTCGAACTCACAGAGATCCACCTTCCTCTGCCTCCTGAGCACTGGGGTTAAAGGCATGCACCACCACCGCCCAGCCACATCTTGCTTTTAAAAGGCCCTACTATATATATTCTTTCCTCTCTCTTCACAATTAGTTGCTAGATATTTCCACCCCTCCTCCTGAGGGCTCTCTTCTGCACTCTCCTCTCCACTGGGACTTAGAATTAGTGTTAGCTACACTCTACTTACTTTTTTTTTTTTTTTTTTTTTTTGGTTTTTCAAGACAGGGTTTCTTTTTGTAGCCCTGGCTGCTCTGCAACTCACTCTGTAGACCAGGCTGATCTCAGACTCGGAGATCTGCCTGCCTCTGCCTTCTGGGTGCTGGGATTAAACGTGTGAGCCACTACCTGGCTGATGGCTCCACTGTTAGGGTTGATCTTTAGCCCATCTTGTCACCTCCTCTAAACTCTGCACGTACTTACTGAATCTACCCCAGCGCTACTGAGATGATGTGACTCCTTCCAAACCTTCACTGATTCCCTAGTTCCCTGATCTGCAGTCACTTCCTGCCCTAAGTAAGGCTTTCACCTCACCTACATATCCTTCTTCCCTCGGGGCACACTGTCTCTCTTTATCTTCCCTCCGCATCTGACCTCTCATTTTTTCCGTATCCCAGGCTTTTAAGTCAATGCTAAATGGAGGAAGAGGTAAGGGAATCTGCATGTTCCTTCAGTATCAACCTGGAATTAAAATTGGCCAGACAAGTGGCTCCCATGCACATACTAGTACCCCTGAAGAGTTTACCATTTCAGGTAAAATAAAAAAAAAAAAAATACAGGAAGAGACAGCCAGAAGGTATATAGGTTAAACTGGGTGTTTTTTGCCTTTAAATGACCTTGTATGGAAAAATGGTGAAGGGTTCCTACATCCCAGAAACTTTTTTTTTTTTTAATTCCCTGAGACAGGGTTTCTCTGTGAAACAGTCCTGGCTGTCCTGGAACTCACTCTGTAGAGCAGGATGGCCTCGAACTCACAGAGAGTCACCTGCCCCTGCCTCCCAAGTGCTGGGATTAAAGGTGTGCGCCACCACCATCCGCCCATCCCACCATCTTGCTTAAAGGTAACCCCTCTGTGTTTTGGAAACTCTCTTTTTCTTTCCTCTTCTCTGCTCCACTCCTCCCCTCCCTTCTTTTCCCTGGGCCTCCTTTATATCTTCATTTCTCTTCTCTCCTCCCTCCTTCCTTCACTGAACCTCCAGCCTCTGGGTGTCACACAGGGGACACTGCCAACTCTCATGAGTCAATTGATAATGACAGATGTTGTCCACTGGGAACCAAAACAGTCATTAAGTCATATCTCTATCTAATTATAGCATCTTCACTTATTTAATAAATCAACCATAATGCATAGGTTAAAATGTAACTATTTCACAAGTTCAAGTAATAGTTGGGTTCAGGCAGAAAATGAACTGTGATACAGATTAAACTCCAAAACATTATAAATTTTGAATCCTACTCATTACATGGAAATTCCTCATGCTCCTCTTCATTTCTTTCAAGTGCTGTTGTCACTGGTCTGAGGATACGCCTGCCACAGGCAGATAGACAGCTAGTAGGATTGGTATACCCAGCTTCAGACTTAAGCTCAAGAGAGTTAAAAATAGTGTCAGAATTTTACTATGTCATCATGGAAGTAAACTTAGCCACCAACATTGGCCAATGAAAGAGTGTTTTTATTTCGTAACCTTAACTCTACCAACATTCATAGTTCAGTTTTGGTTCTCTACCAGCCACCATTCTTGTACAGATCATCTTTATAAAAAAGTAGAATACAATAAACATACACTTTAGTGTTTCCTATTTCAGACATTTCATGTCCTTGAAAATGTGAATCTTCCAAGCTGTTGAGCTCATTCCAAACACTTCCTGTTATGAGTCATCTTAGAAAGTAATTAAAAACATCAAGACAGTTGGACCATGCATTTCACTCATCCCCTTCAAATGTGGTGTGCTGGATGTCACAGAAAGGGGGAAGAAAGCTGTAATTTGTGCACTCAAATGAATTGTTAAAAATAGGTTAGCAATACAGTGCTGAAGTGTTTCACAATTTGACAACCATGTTCAAAACTCATTTTAAAAATTCGTAAGTTCAGTGTTACTAGTATGGAGGACTTTACTAACTGTTCGTATTTTGACATGGGCCTTTATTTAGTCATGTAGAATTAGACTGGGAAGAAACCAAAATTGCAGGGGCATTAACACGTTTATTAATATCTTCCCTCCTCATCAGTCTACATCAGTGAAGGAAATGCCGGTAAGTGAAGGAAAATCATCCACTTCTATATGGTGATGTAAAACCTATATAGAAACAAAGTCATTTGGAAAATGGTCATTCAAATGGCAACACTGAACCCTATCTCTAATTATGTGTTATAACAAGAACTGGAATAGATGACTCAGTCACAATTTTATTTTTTCAACCTAAGTGATAAAGTGGATCTAGAGTAGTACTGAGTGATGAGAAAGGAGTTTTCTATGCCGCCTTGCTGATGTTTCACTGGGCCTTTATCATGAATAATTCTTGAAAGCTTCCGTTCTGGTCAATTCTGTGCAAAGGAACTATAGCTAAAAACATTCTGTCCACAGAACTGAAATGGACTTCCTTGGAAATGTCACTCGTTACTAATTCTATCTGGGTCAATGAGGGATGAGTCTGCCTTTATCTGGACAGCTTCAAACATTTCTACCTCATTATCAAAGTTATTTTAACTGTCCCTCCAGGGAAAATATGTATGAGTCATACCCAGAATAATAGGCAGCTGTTACAGCTGGGGGCTAATTTAGGGCTTCTTGCAAACATTTAAGAGGGAAAGAAAAGCCCTTTCTTACAGTTAAGGAGTTTGCTGCTAAAAAATGACGCTTGCTAATATTTGTGTACTTATTCTTTTTTAGACCTGGATGATAAGGTTTCTTATTTACTCATATGAGGACCCTAAAAGATATATTAGAATTATGCCTACTCTAGACCTGAGGGTTGTGACATCTAGCTTGTAGGTAGCAGAATCAAGGATAGGAGCCAGTGTGCATGCGCGCGCGTGTGCGTGCGTGCGTGTGTGCGTGTGTGTGTGTGTGTGTGTGTGTGTGTGTGTGTGTGTGTGTCTGGTGAGTCTTAGATAGTGCTAAAGCTACAGCTGTCTCAGTACTGATGCTGTTTCCTTTATGGAAAGAGCCCTGTAGATGACAAGCAAGGAGAAGAGCATAGAGCAAATCTATCGTGTTCAAGCAAACAGAAAAAAATGCACTG